TGATGAACAGGCAGAATGAGTATACAACATCAAGTGTAGTACTGAAGGCAAATAAAGGGAAAACTTCTCAGAGTGAAGTGGGGGTTTGCATAAATAAGGGCTTACACAGCCAGGAACTCTTGAATCTGAGATACTAGATTAACCAGTATCTTTCTGCAAGCTAAAATTAGTTTGTTCTTTTTTGACACTGACAGCCCGATCCGTAGCTGGGCTTCCACCAGGCTGTTGTATTTGGATGCCACCATTTTGGAGCCATATGTTTCCCCCTTCATTTAATGTATCTTTGTGGCCTGTCATACACTTCCTCAGGCAGAGCAACCCACGCAGACGTGCTCATAACTCTGTTATGTGAGTCCTGATTTTGTAAGCACTCTCCAATTATAGATGATCTCTCCAAAGAGCCTCCTGGATGTAAGCCTCTGCCACCTCAAGCAAGTACTTCATATAAACCCTTTTCATATCTTTATCAAGCACTGTTTCAAAAATAGTAAAGGAATCAGTTGTTCCCACTAATTATTTTACTTGTTTATGGTCCTCCCTCCTATATCCAGACATGAAAATTGTCTCTGCCTTTAGAGGGAGTCAAGTATGTCCAAGGGGTATTTCTTTGAGATGTATAAGCTTGAAAGCTCTGTGACCTTTGTTTTAGCTCTGTGTTTATCTGGTGCAAGGATTTATCTTGTCCCTTTCTGTGCTGGCAGATGAGAACAGTGACAGTAAGCCAGCCATATAGTTTAAATGGAGTTTACAGTCTGACACAGCTGCACATGGAGAGGCTGTCATATCAGTCAGCATTCATAAACTGTACATAAAGTGATTCCCCAAATTCTCACAACTGTTCCTGTATTTTGTTGATTGAATAAGCACGGTTGTGTCCTGGCAGCAGGAGGCTTCATGCAGTATGTTCTTCCACAAGGTAAACTCTGTTTTTTTTCAGCTGGGAGGTCTCCATGTGGAATTCTAGCTAAGTCAAAAGCAGTAGTGTTGAGGATTCATTGGAAACAGCCAATTTAATCCCCCAGCTAGCGCAAGTATGTTTTGTTCAAGTTGGTCAAGGAATCCAGGCTTATAAAATGACCTTATAATGGGTTTTGAGGAATTGTTTACATGAGAGAATCAGGAGAGATGAAAAACAGAGAGGGTCAGTCTTCAGAAACGGGCTGCATACAGGAAATAGGAAACGTATGTGTCAACTTTGCTTCCAAGTTCCAACACTGACATGAAAGAAGACATAAAGAAGGCCATTTCAGGGAAGAAGTTTCCACTTGCCTGTATAGGTTGAATCACACATGGCAACTAAGAAAAGGCAGCATTAGTGAAACATGGATAATAATGCTATTGTTGCAATTTCTGGTTAGGTTAAGCTTAAAGACGGTGTGCAAGGGTTCCAGTTCCCTCATCGGGACAGGAAGATAAGAGATGTACTGAGCTATTTGCACTCTTGTCATTCTGGTCTATTTTGGATAAAGTTAAGCTCTCAGCCTGATGCTGAACTAGCCATAGTATTTCACTTGCTTTTAATTAAATTGAACTCATCCATTAGTTGCAAGTGTCCTGTCATTGCAGTTCATGAGATTTAAAGTATTTAAAGTTTTTAAAGTATTGTACGCAGTGGAACCGCAGAGGAGAGGAATGTTTTCCCACAGCTATATGCAATGACCAACTGTACCTCCCACTTTATTAAATAACATGTTGCAACCTTTTTAAAAGAAAAAAGTAAGAAAGTTTTATGTTCTCAAAAGAAATGTTAAATCCCAATCCTGATTTACTTTCACATCTTTACCACCGAGCTTGAGAAAAGATTTGAACTGCTCATATGCCTTTTCATTTCACACTGAATTTATAGGAAGTTTCCAAATAATAACGGTCAACTTGGCAGGAATAAATGTAGACCAAATGGTGTAATCCCCACAAGGAAGCATAATTCTCTTATGAAGTATTTACAATAGCAAGCTTGGAAATCCAACAATAGGTTATATTGTTAATAGGTTGTTTATAGCATCTTTTATTGACTGATTCATTCTTAATGGTAACAGATTTAGTCACCTAACATTCTTCATGTGGCAGGCAGTTCGATGTCCACTGTTGCTTTAAGAATCCTCTCAGGTAGCAGAAAGTATCATTCTGACATAAATCAATAAATAGGACATAAATAGGACCTTGCAAAGTTCAGAAGTTCCCTGAAATGTAGCTGAACTTTCTGATGCTCCCTTCCTGTGACCTTCCAATAACCCTTATCTCCCCTGCCTTCGTGACCCTTTAATGTTTCCCTGGCTCTCCATTCCCTTCATCCTCCTAAAGAGCTTGGCTACTTCCCAACTTGGATTCATCCAACAGGCCACCCTCCTTGGAAACTCTCCCAGTCTTTGAAAGGCCCTTGCAGTAGAGTAGCCTCAATGCTAGTTTGCAAATTTAAATTTCACATACTGTTGAACCATTCACCTAACTGAATCACATGCACGACCTGGTTGAAACTGGGAAACTTCTGCAGTGGCAAGTTGTGGTACAAAGTGATCAGCCTTCTATAAAGTTAAGATCAGAAAATTTAAGCCTTCTAAAAGCAAACCAAGGGAAAGGCTTTGGGATTTGTTGTACAAATAGCTTTTGTAATACTTTCTACACAGTTAGCAGTTTTTTGTATTACGGGAACATTGCTGGTGAGGCCAAAAATTATTTCTTTAAAATGGGATAGCACCTGTTTGAAGACAGCTAGCTGCCCCAGTATTATTAATTGCTACTGTCCAAACTCTTTGTAACCTTTGTTTCTTTGTTAGTTTGCAGTATGCTTTACCAGTGGATATTACACAATTATACATTGTGTAGGACTCAGGCAAAAAAAGTTCTGATATCTGAAACAAACCTTCTAGTGCTACAGTTTTATGTATCCTTTAACATACATTATACGCTTATGTGATAGCTTCAGACATGAGAAGATGCTGCAGCCTTGTACTTCACTATATTTTTTCGCAGACTGTAGTTATCTAATAGAGTTTTAGAGGAGGTGTTAACTTTGAGTGCTAAGCATAATGTCCCTCAAGAATTTTATTTTTAACAGCTAACTGCAACATACTTGTTCACAGAGATTTGTTCCAGTACAAATCACAGATTGGTTCTGATGGTCCTCACATCCTCCAATTTGCATACAATCAAATCTGAGCTTCATAGGAGATTTTGTAAAATAAGCAAGTGTCACAAGTGTCCTTGGAATATGCAACTTTGTGAACATTTAAGCAAGCAATGTGAATGCAGCAATCTAAACATCTTTGTGTGCCTGGCAAGAGGATGACTAATCATGTGAACCTGGTGACAACTTTTTTTTTTTCACTGATGCCCATGTCCTTAAGGTATCCTCTAGAATATTAATGAGAGATTAGAATCAGCTCAGTGCTTCTCAGTGGTGCAGGCAAAGCTTAAGTTTGTCATCTCAAGGGCAATGACAAAACTGTGTCCTCGCCCTTGGGTGTAGTAAAATTCAGCCCCTGGTTCAGTGGTGGGAGTGATAAGGGTGAGAAGGTTGTTGAGTGGGAGCAAAGTCTTCCATGGTGACATGAAAAGAGAGCAGTTCAGAGCAGACCCAAGTTGGTTGGTGGCAGAGAAAGTGACCTGAGATGGGTCAGTGGGATCTTTGGGTAGATAAATTTGGGAGTTAGGAATCCTCTAAAAGTTTGGAAGGGTTGAGATAAAGTTTGGAATATTTGGTAAGGGCAAGGTGACTCTTAAGTCAAAGCAAGAGTTGCCAACCCCAGAGCAGTGGCCATTACACCATGACCCTATCCTTGGTGGCAAAATGAGCAATAATCAGCTGTTTCTTCTCTTATAGAGAAAATAGACAATGGTGACCTTGCTGTCCTTGGCAGTCGCCTGTCTAAGCAACCTCTTGCTTGCTTACGACTAAAGCTAATCTGCTTATTTTGTATTCTTGCAATAAAACAATAGCCTCTACCATAGCATGGTTACAGTCTGAATTTTATTTTCTGATCCTTGGAGGACAAGCACAAAAGATTGTCACTGTGAGAAAAGAACATTTAAGTGATACAACATGAAGTTGTCTGTATACAGGGATAGACTGCAAATTGAAAAACTGAAATATGTTTAGCACTGTCTTCTTGAGACTAAACAAACACAGGGCCCTCAGCTTCTCCTCAGATGGCATGTGCTTCAGCCCCCAAAACGTGTCAGTAGCCCTTACTGATAAATTTGCTCCATTTTATCCATTTTATTAATATCTCTCCTGTACTGGAAGAATCAAGACTGGTCATAGAATTTGAGATACCATCTCACAAGTGCTGAGTAAAGGGGCCTAATCACTTCCTTCAACTTACAGACTGGGAACATTTTCCTTGCTGACTGTCCCTTTGGAGGTTGGACATTAACAACCCTCTACTAAGGGACTTATTTTCATTTCTCTTGAGACAGGGAAATTATGTTTAACTATCAACATAAATGGCTTAGAAATTAAAGACTGTGTCAGAAATATCAGTTCTGCCAATAACTGAAAATAAAGCACATTGATTATACTCAAACCCACATGTATTTCAGCAGCTTCAGTTTGTGCAAACCCATCTTCTTTCAAGTCTTCCATGACTTTACACCTTCTGAGGCTAGAATTTCAGATTTACATTGTTCAGCTGATCATGAGGGGTAGGATATATTTGATGTTATTTGTCTCCTATTTAAAAATATAACAGAGTAGTAAGGTAAACTGGTCCTTGTGATAAACCACTGGTTGGTAACCTTAACAGGAGAAATGCTTTTATTAATATGTACTGATTTAATTTGTTTCAGGATCATGTAAGATCAAAAGGCAAAACAAAAACACACAGAAACCCTCTTTTCCTACTGAAATGGCCATTAGGTGCAGTTTTCCAGCATTGAAGTCCCTAGTATATTCCAGCCCATGAAACTGAATTAAGAAGATGGAGCATCATGCTGAATAACAGACTTTCCCAAGCCCTTTATGTGTAGGAGAGAGAAAAGTTTCTTGAAATGTTGTACCCTTCATGGAAAAAAATGTCAAGAAAAAGAATGTGAACAAAACCTGTAACACTCTGGCAAGTGCTGTAGAGGCCTCTGCTAGAGTCTCTAGCATCTTGCCTTCAGAGCAGGTTTCACCATCTAATGTGTCAGATCTTCCCAGAATTTTGTCTGAAGTAGTACATCTAGAAACTGGATCCCAGAAAAGGCGACCAGGCACTGCAATAATATCAAAACGGTCAGATTCTTCAAACATGTCTCGGACGCCACTGAATCGGCCTGTCATCCCACCAAGAAGACCTTGCTTCAGGGTATGCTATATCTGTGGCAGAGAATTTGGGTCACAGTCTATTTCTATACATGAACCCCAATGCCTAGAGAAGTGGCATATTGAAAATAATCAGCTACCAAGGCATCTCAGAAGAGTGGAGCCCAGGAAACCTGAGGTCCTTACTGGTCGTTCCTGTACGCTTACAGCTGAAAATGAGGCAGCTTATCATAGTGCTCAAGCCCAGCTCCTGCCCTGTGGAAACTGTGGCCGAACCTTCCTTCCTGACCGTCTCATTGTGCACCAAAAGTGTTGCAGAGGAGGTAGCAGCAGTGTGGGGCCGTCAAGCTCTAGTCCCCGTAAATCTGGTAAAGGCCCAGGCTCTGGGTCTGGCTCAGCAAGTGATGATCCATCTAAGACCTGTCGAGGAAAAAGTGGGGCTGCACCAGACGTATTAGACAAGGTAAATCGCTAAGCATGTGCTGTATGAAAGGGTGTGGATGCATTTTGATGCTAGGCATGCCAGGGGATACGGGGTTCCCACCAAATTTAAAATCACTTTCCTTCAGAAGGATCTTTTGGCTCTGTGCAAATGTTTCTCTGCTGAATAGTAGGTAAAGGAAAGGGCAATACCGTGTGCGTAAGAGAAACTACTTATTCCGATTTCTTTTGATTTTCTTGTTGAAAGGGAGTAGTTGGGTTCTCATACTCTCTGGTCCTGTGAGAGTTATGTCCCCAAAAGGGACCATTGTGTGCTATAGTTCCCTAGGAGATTCTGTTGAGCAGCTTAGGCAAGCTTTGAATGTTACATGTTTTAGCAGGTATTAGGTATTTTTATTTAGTTAACATGAAATACAATCCTGTAAGCACTCCAGTGATCTTCATTTTTTTACTGTTATTCTTAACCTTGGCATGGAACACAAGTTTACTGAGGACTGCATGTTCAAAGGCAGCAACTCAGAGTATAACAACAACAAAATAAATAAGACTGCACATTTCTTTCCACTGAATTTGATTCAAGATCCAAGAATAAAGAAGCTGATTCACATTATCCAAAAGCTACACAAAGTTTTGGAAAATGGCATATTTTTTCTTCATTTGTTTCTGCACAAGCTGTCTTTTGGCCAGGAGTTTTGCAAAAAGATAGATGTCTAAATTTAGGCCCAGTGTCTAAAATAAAAGGCTTTTTTTTTTTCAATGGGAGTTGGACTCCTGATTGCCTACATTATGTTTGAAAATGGGATTTAGCTTTCTCAGTCACCAAAGGAATTGCAGAGCATTTCTAAAAAAGTTTTAAAAGTCAAAGCATGCTATATTTCAGTTTTCCAGCTTCTGAATAAAATGGAGATAATAGCATTACCCTAACAAACATGAGAATAAAGACAATGTGAGGCATTTTTATATTATGCTATTTGAGGCCACTAATTGATAGATATTGGCAAATTAGGTCCACTCCTCAGGTCTTCTATCAGCAAATTTCAAATAACCCACAAACTGTTCAAAGTGGATCAGGTGGATCTATAGCTATAAGAAAGGAGATGTTCTTGTTGTGTTACACTACATTGTACCATTTACCAAAGAACTGGCATTGCTCTAAAGGTGATTGTTCAATGAAAGGCATGGGTGTGAGGCAGACAGTTTTGTCCATCACACATAATTCTGTATGTTTAGAAAAAAAAGGGGGTGGGGGGGGAATGTCCATAGTTATGTCATAAAAAAACAGGTTTAGAGTGTGGTTTGGCATTGAGAGCAACTCTGTAAAAATGTTGCCCTCTTGCACAACATATCTGCTCCCTGTGTGGATTCAGTCACATCTGCTGACTTGTTGAACAACAACATTATTACCATTTTTTACTTCTGTGAGCTTGCAGGGCCAGAATGAAATGTGTTTGAATCTGTTCTTCCTTCTGTGTGAGCAACAGGTTTCATCATTTAATTCCAAACAGTTACAGTTCATCAGTTGCAGCAGAACTAATGAGGCTGTACAGCTTGCATTTTGTAATTGACTCTGAAGGACTTTATTATTAACGATGACTTTCAGGAATGGATGATGGATTTTGCCTCTCTGACGTCCTTTATTTTATTTTATTTAGAGCTGTCCTTTTGTACTGAGGTACACATTAAAGGCACAGATAAGAATGGAAAGA